CCACCACACATGGGTCTGCACAACAAGCACCTGTGCCCAGGGACACCGCTCCCTCCGGCCTGTCCGCCACATGCTGTCCGCAGGGACCCGGGCACAGAAGGCACTGAGGGGTCCCTGCTAGAAGGCCAGCTGCCCACAGCCAGACGCGCCTCCCCTTACCTGCTAGGGCACCCCTCTGTGCCCCACCCCGACGCTGTCAGGAGTGACCCCCCTTCAGCAGCACACTCAGGCCACCTGGCTGACCACTCAGCAGCTTCCCTCTCCCTGCACCCCCGGGAGACCCCGGCTGGGGAAGGGAGAGGAAAATGGACTGGAACGCAGCCCAGCTGCCCCCCACCTGTGGCATCGCCTTACCATGGCTGTGGCTGTGGCACAAGCTCCCGTACAGCAAAGACTTCCGCGCCGCCTCTCAGCACTGGCTCCCGCGGCCAGCACCGGCCCTTTTGTACGCCTGAGCTGCACACGTCAGGGGGCGTGCCGGGTGAGCCCGCGCCTAGTGGCCAAATTCCGCTTCGGTTTCAGTTTCCTTTTCCCGAGGCAAGCCCCAGAGTGAGTAGGAGAAACAAAACAGAGTGACAGAAAGACAGGGAAAAGCTGAAGCAGGGTAGGCAGGGTCTCAGGGGCACGGGCAGGGACAGGGACTCAGGACAGCGGAGAGCGTCCCCACCCCCACCCAGCGCCCGGGAAACACCTGGGTATCCAGCATCCCGGGTCCTTCACAAGATGCAATAAGTCATCGTCACATGAACTAATGATTGGCAGTTTTCATTTTCCATTTACCAGTTTGCAAGATTAGTAAACTCGGAAAGGAAACGGCAGCCATCCAAACTACCCGGAGATAACCTCACTTGGTTTAGGGCAATATTTGCTCAGATTGGTGTTTTTTGTTGTTGTTTTTGTTTTTTGAGACAGGGTCTCACCCTGCCGCCCAGGCTGGAGTGCAGTGGCAGGATCTCAGCTCACTGCAGCCGCCTCCTCCTGGGCCAAAGCGACCCTCTCACTTCAGCCTCCCCAGTAGCTGGGACCACAGGGGTGCACCAGCTAATGTTTTGTATTTTTAGTAGAGATGGAGTCTCTCCATGTTGCCCGAGTGGGTCTTGAACTCCTGGGCTCAAGTGATCCACCTGCCTCGGCCCGGAAGGTGCGGGATGACAGGCCTGGGCCGCCACGCCCGGGCCTCATGTTGTTTTTTCATAGAAGAGACGTGTCTTTTATTTTCTACAGAAATGAACTCTGGGGCCCTACTGAGAAAGTGACAAGACAATCCACAGAATGGGAAGAAATATTTTCCAATTATCTCTCTGATGAGGGGCAGCATCCAGGGTATGCAAAGAACTCTTACAACTCAACTTTAAAATGGGCAAAAGACTTCAACAGACATTTCTCCAGTGACACAGAAACGGCCGCCTACCACGGGAAGGAGGCCGGCATCATTATTCATGGGGAAGTGCAAATCAAAACCCCAATGAGGAGCTGATTCCGATTAGCATGACTGTAATAATTAAAACAGAGGACCGGCCAGACGCGGCGGCTCACTGAGCCTGTCGTCCGGCCTTTTGGGAGGCTGAGGAAGACATGCCACCTGAGGTCAGGCGTTCCAGACCAGCCTGGCCAACATCTTTAGTAGAAACCCCATCTCTACTAAAAATACAAAAATTAGCCGGGTGTGGTGGAGGGCACCTGTAATCCCAGCTACTTGGGAGGCTGAGGCGGGAGAATCTCTTGAACCCGGGAGGTGGAGATTGCAGTGAGCCGAGATTGCGCCACTGCACTCCAGCCTGGTGACAGAACGAGACTGTCTCAAAAAATAGTTCAAGATAAAAATAAAGGACAGTAGCAAGCATTGGTGAATGAATACACAGAAGAGTTGGAATCCTGGCACATACGCGGCTGTTGGGAATGTAAAATAGTTTGGCCACTGTGATCCTCAAAACGTTAGACATAGAATTATTGAGTAACTCAGCAATTCCACTTCCAGGCAGGTGTTCAAATACTTGTGTACAAATGTTCATAGCAGCACAATTCACAACAGACAAATATTGGAAACAGGGCAAACATCCATCAGAGATGAGTGGATAAACAAAATGTGGAACATCCATACAATGGAATATTATGCAGCCATGAAAAGGACTGAAGCACTGACTCCTGCTACGATGTAAAAGAACCTCGCAAACATTATGCTAAGGGAAAGGTGCCAGACACAAAGGCGGCAGGTTGTGTGATTCCACTTACTGCAGGGAAAATGCCCAGAACTGATGGACCACAGCAACAGGAAGTCGGGCCTGTTACCGGGGGCTGGGGAGGAGGGATGGGGGTGATAACATTCAGAACTCCGTAGAGTGATGTTGGACAATGTGATGAATAACTAAACGCCACTGAATTACATTCTTTAAAATGGTTAGCTTCATGTTATATGAATTTCACATCAATAAAAAGCAAAACTGCAAAAGGCTCATGATACTTTCACCGGTTTGTAATCTGCTTCATTCACTGAACAGTGTGTCATAAACATTTATCTAGGCCGGGCAGGCGCGGTGGCTCACGCCTGTAACCCCAGCACTTTGGGAGGCTGAGGCGGGCGGATCACCTGAGGCCAGGAGTTTGAGACCAGCCTGACCTACATGGTGAAACCCCATCTCGACTAAAAATATATATATAAAAAAAGACCGGGCGCAGTGGCTCACGCCTGTAATCCCAGCACTTTGGGAGGCCCAGATGGGCAGATCACTGGAGGCCAGGAGTTTGGGACCAGATTGGCCAACATGGTGAAACCCCGTCTCTACTAAAAATGCAAAAAGTTAGCTGGGCGTGGTGACGCGAGCCTGTCATCCCAGCTACTTGGCAGGAGAGTCACTTGAGCCCAGGACGTGGAGATTGCAGTGAGCGGAGATCGCTCCACTGCACTCCAGCCAGAGCAAGACTCTATCTCAAGAGAAAAACCCAAAACACAAAAAACACACACCTGTCTGTGTTGGTGGATACATCTACGCAACTTGTTTTAACTGCGGGACGAGTCCCTGACAGCACAGGGTCGATTTAGTTAACCATTCCCACAGCACTCAGTGTGTGCCTTGTTGCCACATTGCTGCTGTGACATACGGCACATGGTGGGCAAGGGCAGCTAAGACTCAGCAATAATACATAAGATTCAAGTAAATTAACAAGTAAAAGAGTGAAAAAACAACATATTCTGAATACGAATCCTGGCCCTTCCCCTCTCCCAGCAAAAATGTAGTGGGGCACAAACGTTAGCATGTAAAAACCAAAGACGCAGCCGGGTGCAGGGGCTCACGCCTGTAATCCCAGTGCTTTGGGAGGCTGAGTCAGGAGGATTACTTGAACCCAGGAGGTCAAGGCTGCAGTGAGCTATGATCTCACCACTGCACTGCAGCTTGAGCAGCAGAAGGAGAACTTGTCTCATAAAACAAAACACAGGCCAGGTGTGGTGGCTCACACCTGCAATCCCAGCAACATTGGGAAGCTGAGGCAGGAAGATCACCTGAGGTCAGGAGTTGAAAACCAGTCATGGCCAACATGGTGAACCCACATTTCTAGTAAAAATACCAATATTAGCCTGGCATGGTGGTGGACACCTGTAATCCCAGCTACTTGGGGGGCTGTGGCAGGAGAATTGCTTGAACCCGGGAGGCAGAGGTTGCCGTGAGCCGAGATCGCA